ACTAATGACAGCAAATCTAACTCACGTTTTTATATGAGGCAGCAAATTCTGCAACTCCAGGTACTGTGTGCAAAACGGCGGGACAATTGCAAATGAGTCTAATGTCGAGTTATTTTCAACAAACGTAGAAAAGCAGAAAGGGTAAAATTCTTACACTGTTCTGGCCACAAGTCTGGTGACGCTCTGTCCAGCCTTTCAAAACTTAGCAGAGAAGTCTCAAAATCATCACCTGGTGGGATAAGACACAAAAAGTGACAATGACATGTACAATGCTAACACATATAGAGTTATTTGGAGAGCTAGAAAAGAAAAGACTACATAAATGGATAGTTATTTACGAAAAATATATGCTATAGCCATAACAGGCAAACATCTCATCCAATACAAGCTTGGCGTATATCATATATATTGCTGGTCTTTTGCTAAATGTTATATGAATATAATACTAACGTACAACTCTTTGCTTTTAGTGTCTGCTGTCATCTTCTTGTTGAAGATGATTTATAATCTATATCAGATTGGAAAGAGAATGTCGGTATATATTTTCTTAGTAAAGCGCTTTTAATTTTAATATGTTGGTGGATTTTATTTACATAAACTGCTTGCTTYTGCATTTAAAGTTGATTACAATTATCACTTTGTGCTGTTCTATTGGAACAACCTGTATATTTTTCCTGACAATATACTTGTGGCTTTTTTTTAAATTCATTTGAAAATTTGGATTAAAATTGAACAAAACAGGCTACCATTATATTTATACGTTTCCCATATGGGATACATAAATTTTGAGATATTTTGGAGCCTACATCTTTAGATAGCTATTTTATTCATGTCATGATACACAATAATTATATATATAGATATTTAGAACCTCAACTTTAGTTGTTTATCTTCAATAACAGAAATATTACAAAATATTTCCTGGTTCAATTAAAAAAAAAGGTAGAAATACATGATTTATTGTCCTGTAAACGTTACTGTACAACACCATCTGAACAAGACATCTTCATGGCAGCTCCACAGCAACGTCTTGTTTGCTTCCGCTAAACGAAGTTTAAAAATGACGTTGTTTACGCCAGGAATTGTTACAATTAGTAACGTAAAATGTATTTATTACGTCTGTACATATGTAGCAAAAATGCGAGTTAAAAGCTGGCCATGTGTAAAACATCAACTGTGAGTTGCTTTTCTATGGCAGGTTGTAGACAGCTGTTCACTGTTTTTTCCCCTGAACACTGGTCGGACACGACACTGACTGGGGCCAGTGTAGTCTAGTGGAGCCTTTAGTCAACGGAAAAACCCATTAACCATGTAAAAATACAACACTAATAAGTGTATCTCTCTCCTCTGGATGTTCGATTAAACCAACTTTATATTCGTCACTCATTTGGTTCGCTTAAAATTGTTAAATTTACAATTTATTGACAGCGTATCTGTGTACGGAATTAAAATTTACCTCCATTTGGAGACGCCATCTTCACAGTGATCACGTGACGAACGAAAGCCAATAGCTGTAAACGTTGACACATATGTAATTCTCCAAAATGCCAGAAGAGGGCGCTAAATTGTTAAACAAATACATCAGTGTTTTTAAAGAGTTGTATTTTCTAATTCAAGTCTCTGCACCTCATGAACATCAATCTGGTGTTTTAGAAGGAAAATAGTCAAACGTATTTAAATACATTTGTATTGTATGAATGAATTGCGTCGTTCTAATTTGTTTAGTAACACTAATAATGAAATATGATACATTTTTGGTATTTGTTATGTATGCCTCCTATGTATTTTAAAGTTCACGGAAATTGTATATACAATAAACCTAATGCAAACTGTGTCAGGTCAATAAAGTCAACTATTCTGATTAATTTGAACAATTTTATAATACTCCTTGAAATTCACAGTAATGTATTTCATGAAATGAGTAAAGATTTTTATCTGTTCACATTCTACTTTTCTTTTGTTATATATATCTTGTTCGCACAACTGTGGGCCTGTGAGCAAGGCCTTTAACACTTCAGTGAATCAGTCCCGTGTGGGATGGTAAAAAAATGCAGAGTGGACTCATTAGGCATTAGCAGAGAACAGTATATGAAAAATACAGTATATACATTGTCTTGATGGACTATATAAGCACAAGTAAACATGGAATACAAGAATATCACTTTTTATTATTCACTCTAAAACGTAAACATTGAATCAGTAGTTGTACTCAACAGCACTAATATGCCAAATTACTGTCACCAAGATCTATACATTCACAAATAAAAAAAAAAACACTCAGATATCTTGTAACATTAGTAATTTTAAACTGACAAAAATATGCATTTATTGCCATATGCAATATTAAAAATATGCAACATTTGAATTTTTCGAGCTTTTGTTCACTTCAGGCACTTTTCGATTTTTAAAAATAAGATGTATTGTGACTTAAGGCATTTGGGCTAGGATTAGATCTTGGAGGATCTCCTTTTTCACACAATACTGTTGTGCACATTTTCATTAAAATTTTTCTTTTAAAGCATTATCATCCATGCTAGCTTATAGTATCAAATAGTGTAACACAAATACTCAGACAGAGATTCATCCTGCACTGTAAAAAAAAACAACCTACGGTACTTCTATGTAAACACTTAAAATCTAAAACCCAGTTCCAGAACAGCAGATGTACAACAAAACATTAGTGTTATGATGCTGTGGGGAAGGACTAGAACTCCCAGGAGTCCATCCACTTCAGGCCAAACATGGTGCTCCCTGCTTCATGTGCTAAAGGACCCGTCATGCCGTATGAGAGTGGATGGAACAGGTAGAAACTGATTGAGAGAAGGAAAAAAATGATAGGGATTAGGTAATGAACTCATCGTATTTTAAAAGATACACAGTCTGGCCAGAAAAAAAAATCCACTAAAAAAATAGGTCACACACATTTTGTTATGCCACACATTCGCTGTGGCATTGTTTCGATAAGCTTCTGCAATGTCACAAGATTTATCTCCATCCAATGTTGCATTATTTTTTTAACCATTTAATTGATGATGGTAGAGTCTGACCGCTGTGCAAAGCCTTCTCCAGCACATCCCAAAGGTTCTCAACGGACTCTGTGGAGCCAATCCATATGTGAAAATGATGCCTCATGATCCCTGAACCACTCTCACAATTCCAGCCCAATGAATCCTGGCATTGTCATCTCGAATATGCCCGTGCCATCAGGGAAGAAACAATCCACTGATGGAATAACCTGGTTATTCAGTATATTCAGGTCAACTGACCTCATTCTTTGAGCACAGACTGTTGCTGAACCTAGACCTGACCACCTGCAGCAACCCCAGATCATAGACCTGAGTTAAATCCAGGTGGCCACTTTATTTTTGGCCAGGCAGTGTATTTGACYAAAATGCAAATATAGAACGAATACTATTGTATAGGGTAATATTTACAGTGGGTATAACTTGGTATAAAACACAAACAAAATGCGGTGTGCAACGCAACAAACAACCTTCCTTCCCTTAGCTCACCTGTACAGAACACTGATCAGGAGGACCATCAACCCACATTTCTGCAGCCAATCACAATAAGGGGGGTGGAGAAGCAGATCAGAACTTCTTAATAAGATGTCCAGTGTAATTCCTGTGAAACAAAAAGTTATTTACTTAGAACACAAAACTACAATAATAAACTGAACTAAGGTGTAACAACTCTGCTAAACTGTAGCAGTCAGTACAAAATTAGCACTTTCACATTATTCCTTATATTCTGTATAAAATTACCCACATAAAACATTTTAAACCGGAAATATACAAGAAAATGTATGTGTACAGCTCCAACTTAACTTGGGCTTTTTTAATGTTTTAAAATATATGAGATTAATTTTTTTAACATTAATTTTTTGGTTTTAAAAAAATGTTTATTACTGGTTTTAGCAAATTTGGCTGTGATCTAAAATAAAATAAATATCTCAAATCACTTCTTTCACATTATCAAATACTGTACATATGCTTAAAAACCAAAACCAGCTTTTAGCGAAGCCATGGGTTTAATTATTATTAATTATTTAGGGTTATTTTGCRTCATTTTGTTCATGCAGTTGTAGAATAGCGTGTTTTGTGATAAATATTTGGTGCCATTATGCTGTAGCAAAGGAAGTGGGAACAAAAGATAAAAGGCTTTTTGTAAATAGTGTTGGATTCCTCTTTGTGTCATGCAGGTAAATAAAAAGAAAGCTTGCAGTTAGTTTCAAGTAATGTATGCAATGAACTCATTATGCTATAACTGCTGCAGCTGTAGCATTAGCATAGCATTTCAGCTGCTAAAATGTAAATCCTTTTCTTAAGACTAAACTGCTTTTTAGCACATGTTCTGTCTTTGTCAAGCCTCTCTATCTGCACCTCTCATTCAAGTCTGAAAAAACTGAAAACYTCTGCTTAAGTTAATGGAAATGGGCATAATGCTTCCGATTGTGCTACCTGTTAGCATGGTGCTGAAGAGCATTGCAGGAAAGTAGTGATGATAGTAAAGAACTCGGCCCATGGTAAAGAAGGGGGCGTAGTGCAGCAGCCAGCCGAGGAGCAGCAGTCCTCCTCCTCCCTTTAGCACACGTGAATGCTCTGAAACACGCAACAGTTCACAACGTTCAGATCTCTGCTGCAGCCACGRCGGAGCAGTCACTGATTCTGTCACTACTCATACCAATTCTTCGTTGGGCCAGAGGGAATCCTCTTTGAATGGCTACAGATGCCACTGCTACCATGATGAGATACAAGCCTAAACTGGCCAGATTTATCCACCAAACCACCTAAAAACAGACGACTGGATTACTTCAAACTGTTACTTAGACCACAACAGGAAAATGAAGCGGGTGTAAAGAACCTACAGGGTTTCCCAGCAGGTAAACACGATACTCTGTCTCGTTAACGCCTGAAAATCTCAATCCCTTCACAAAAAACACAGAAACATTCAGTGTTAGAAATAATTATAAACTTAAACTGTGTTTTATCCAAAACAAAATACATGTTTAGCACACCTGGTAGTTGATCGGCCAGTGCCAAGGTTTGGAGTTCATTTCGTTGTCTTTGGGTTTCAAGCCACTATTTCCCTAAAAAAAAAAACCAAGCTTTTATTGAAACGAGCAAATTTGAACTAACGTATCTGAGCGCAGGTTGTTTTATTTTCTCATTGTTACTTACTCTAATCATTACTATGTGGGACTCCAGTAAGGTTTCCAGAAAACTGGGCTTCAATACAGAAAGACTGATGTTGGGCACTAACAGAACACACAGAAATAAAATAAGTTAGTAGACGTAAAAACCAAAAACACAAGATTGTGTTTCTGTCATACGTTTGGGATTAATATGATCCTCGATGTTCCACTGAGAGCTTGGAGTTTCCTTCAAGTARGGACTGCAGGTCACTTCTACCTGCTCCCACCCCCTGGACAGAAACAAAACTTAAAGCACATGCCGGCTGACTACACAGAAAAGAAACCAGAGCGGAGAAGATGAAGCTTCACCACTTGGGAAGAGTCTTTCCAGAGGAGTACAGCACGCAGCCCGTAGCTTTGTGCAGAAAGCGAACTTTGCTACGCAGCACTTTCACCCGGTCGCCTTTCCGACCGCCGCACACTTCCACCTGCCACAGATCGTTTGTGTCCCCCGTTCCATTCTGAAAACAGACAAAATGTATTTTAAACCTGATAAAACGGGAAAATGTGAAGCACAGGTTTATGTCACAGATTTACTCACGGCTCCGTAGCCTGTAACCTGGAAGTGTTTCTTGGTCAGAGGAGCTTGATGGAGGTGACTGTGAAGGTTACGAGTTGTTCTGACGAAAAAAATAAGAATACACACAAAAATCTTGTTTAGAAAATTTGAACAGAGACTTAATTCAGCAAAATAAATGTATGTTGCTTACTCTTTGTGCTCCAATCGAATAATGTCACCATGACGAACCAAATCAGGAGGACCAGACTGGGCTTTTTAGAGATAAACAATAAACACAAACAGTAAAATAACTATAAAAAAACACACTCACACTCACCTCAGCTATTAAGCCCCTCATTCARTTTTTACATTCTTTAGGATGTGATGAAGCGACAAGTGGTGCTCTAAAATAATCGTTAACCTTCACAGTGTCAACTTGGATCAGAATCTCTCTCCAAAACAGAGCATTTATGAACCAAGAGAGAGCAGAAACAAACATCAAAAAGTGCACTTTAATTATTAAAGTTGGCACTAAACAAGTAAGGGTCTCTACAGTAATGATTCCCAACCAGGGGTACATGTACCCCTTGGGGTACGCGAGCATATTACAGTGGGTACGTGGAAAAATGTTCAAGGTGTGTAAAAAAATAAATAAAAATAGGACTGAGATTTGTAGGGCCCCATGATTTCTGCAATGAGAAAATAGCAGATGGAATTAACACAAAATGGAATCCAGTATAAAACGTGGAATCTCACGGAATTTGCTCATTTGCGTGAGTTTCTGACACATTTAGAAAAATACACGCTGCTGTTCCCTGCACCTGCCATTACCTGGTTTATTTATTTAATTACTTAAGTCACTTTCAAGGCAACGTTTTTAGCTTCATGTTTAATTTGAGTTGAAACAAATAAAATGCCTGAGAATTAAACGTTCTAAGGGGTTAAATAAATCATTACGTTTGACTGAGGGGTTACTAGTGGTGGTTCCCAAAGTTGGGGTCGGGACCCAAAGTGGGGTCCTGAAACATCAAGGTGGGGTCCTGAAAAGATTTTCTATTTTAATTATATTTTTGCCTTAGTTGCCTAAAAAGTATAAATGTAGAATAATAAATATTGTTACTATGCCCATGTTTGGTTGACCTGATACAAATGTTTATCATCCAAACGTAGTTGTGGGCACAGGTCTCTGCAGTAGCGTGCACAGACATTTTCAGGGGCAGGTGCTCAAAAGTAAAAAGAGGGCACCTTGTCCGGTGCACGAAATGAGCAGCTGTCCT